CCGAGCTTTATACCTCTCAATGGATCCATTTGCATTGTGCTTCACGGTAAATACCCATCTGCAGCCAACTGGTTTCTTTCCTTTGGGCAGATCAACTAGCTCCCAGGTGTTATTTTTCAACAGGGCATCCATCTCAACCTGCATTGCATCTTTCCATTTTGGGACGGATAGGGATTCTTGCATTGTTCTTGGAATAGGGACATTGGCAACGGAACTAAGGTAGGACCTGTAGGTAGGAGATAAGTGATCATAGGATAAAAACTGGGAAATACAATGGGCTGTAGATGTGGTACAATGTCGTTTCCCTTTACGGACGACAATCAGAAGGTCAAGGTCATCTGCAGGAGGTGAAATAAAAACAATAGAGGAAGTCTCTGTGGGCCCTGGGACTGTAATACCTGGACTTGGAGCTGCATATGAGATTGGAGCTGGCCTGGACTGCTAATGATCGGGATCAACCTGCCTACATCGCCTGTGATAGACCCTCAACTCCTGATCCCTCTGACCACCCTCACCATTGCAGCTCTCATCGGCTAATGGAATAGGTAAAGGAACTCCCCACTCTCACTGCTCTCCCCTTGAAGAAAAGGACTCAAACCCCCACTCTCACTGCTCTCCCCCTGAGGAGAAACCCGAGGATAATAGGGTGTCTCCTCAAAGAAAGTGACATCCATGGAGACAAACTTCCTCCCTRAGACAGRATCATWGCARCAATAACCCTTTTGAGTTTGTGCATAACCAAGGAAAATGCATTTGCAGGCCTTGGGTTTGAACTTGGAGTGATGGGGTCCGAGAAGCTGAACAAAGCAGGTACAACTTAATGTTTTAAGGGGAATAGAAAACAACTCCTCACTTGGGTATAGAAGGGAAAAAGGAGTTCTCATATCAAGGACCCGAGAAGGAACCCGATTAATAAGATATACCGCCGTGAGGATAGCATCACCCTAGAAGCGAATAGGGACATTGGAGGTAAACATAAGACTTCTAGCCACCCCCAAGATGTGCCTATTCTTCTTTTCTGCAACTCCATTCTACTGAGGTGTATGAGGGCAAGAGCTCTGGTGTATAACCCCATGATTAAGAAGGTAAGATGCCAATGGTTTAGCAAAGTATTCCTTTGCGTTATCGGATCTAAGAACTTTGATCTTGGCATCAAATTAGGTTAGGATCATTTGGTGA